TCTTGGGCCTTTCCTTGTAAGATGGATTACATTTTAAATTCTTTGTTTATGAGACAGATACATACTCTCCTTACCTTCAGGGATGGAGTTATATGGCAGGGATATGAGGAACATAATAAGGCCTTCAAGCCTCTCTTGGTCCCGAGACCTCCAAGCCTGGGGTGTGAGAGCACAGCACATCACTGGCACACCTCCCACGCTCAGTGTCCCAGCTCCCCAATATGCCCCTGGCATTTCTCTTCCTGGAGGAGAAAAGTTGAGTGGGATTCCTATCCCTGTTAGGATACCGTGTTGCTTCATCCAGGCCTTAACAATTGACATTGCCAAGTAGGATCTTCCATTGAGCAAACAAGCAGGGATGGAGTTCATTTTAGGGCCATGTTGTTAAAAGGAAGGCAGAGCTTTAGCATATAGGTTGTGGGTCTCATCTATACATACTTGGGTATTGGTTTAAAATATGTCTCTAGTTGGTAGAGCTGTTTTTTTTTGCTATTCCTCTGAACTGTCTGTTTCTGCTGTATCTTTTTCTACACTCTCTCCTTGGAGGTACTAAAGCAGATCCATCCTCTGCTCTATCTAGGGATTGATACCTGCATTCAGAATTTCCCTCTTTCCTCCCTCTCACCCCCCACAGAATTAGCATCTTCTCCTAGAAGGTGGCATTTGAAACAACTTTGCCTTCATTAAAAGTCCAGAAGTTTTCGGGCCGGCCCTGTGGCTCACTGAGGAGAGTGTGGTGCTGGTAGCGCTGAGGCCGCGGGTTCGGATCCTATATAGGGATGGCTGGTGCGCTCACTGGCTGAGTGTGGTGCAGACCACACCGTGCCAAGAGTTGCAATCCCCTTACTGGTCAAAAAGAAAAAAAAAGTCCAGAAGTTTTCAGTGGTGCTCTCTGCAGTTACTGGATTGCACCGAGACCCTTTGTTCCCCACCAGTGTTAGCTGTGTAGAGATTGCCTCAGTCTCATTTCTGTGGATCATAAAGCCTCGTCCATTTTCCCTCTACCCCTGAGTATCTGGAATCCAGAGTCTGCCTTGTGTAGGAGCTCTGCCTAGGGTTCAGGTGAGCATATTTTAGCCAGAAAGTGTTCCAAGTTGGTTTGCATTTCCCACGACCCCAGCCCGGTGCCTCCTCCATGTTCTTCCAACGCAGGCAGGATCTCGGGTGTCTTCATCCCCGTGCCTTCCCTTCAGCCCTCAGGATTGCTGCCCTGCCCTGCACCAAGTTTCCTACCACAGCCTCCCGCTGCTTTGCCCACACATTTTCCCCACTGGAGGATTTCACTCAGATTTCTGAACCGAGCCTCTGCCCTCAGTGACCACGTGTCTTTTACCATGTCTTCCCCTCAGAAGCATCCCTTCAGCATTTCCCTTCCAACTTGTTGATATCTCTCTGACGGTGGCACAGTGTCCCTTTCCATCACGTCTTGTTTTTAACTCTGCAGCAGCAGAGGCCTCTGCTTCCTCCGTGCTCTCTGGCCTACATCTTGAGCTAGCTTAGTCGGGCTTTGGTCCTCACCCTTTAGTCCTGCCCCTTCTCTGCTCCTTGTTGGGCTGCACTGCTGCAGAGTCTAAGCGTCTTCCACCCATTGTCTTCCTCTTTTTCACAAACTAAATCAAAAATTGTTCTGTCACATTTCTCTCTAAACGTCTGATATTGTAGCAGAACTTGAGCAATGGACTGCTGAAGAAAAGCCTTCTACCCGCTGATCACCGTCTAGCTTTTCTGCAGCTCAGGAGTAAACCCAGTGTATGATGTCATAAAAGACATTTGTTTCTTCCTTCTTGCCCCTCAGATTGTCACTGATATTTTCTTCTACCCCAGCCTAAGAAGGTGCCACATTTCACCTATCAGTGGTTCTTATTCTGGCTGTATGTTAGAATTGCTAAGGGGCTGTTGAAAATACTGTTGCTGAGGCATCATTTCAAGATTCTGATTGAACTGGTCTAGGATAACTTATCAGTATTAAAAGACAGACAAAGAGAAATTCCTCCAGGTTGTTGTAATGTGTGGCCAGGGCTGAGAGCCCTTCCTAGTGGAGGACAGCCCCGTTGTGCTGTTTTGCAGAACTTGTGTTCTGGATGGTGAAATCCCCAAGCACTATGGAGGCTTTACTGGTCGTCTGTCTCACAGCCCTGGCTGGGAAACAAGACAGCAAGCCTGGGAGAATCTGACATGATGTGACCTTCTTCTGGTAGAGGCTTGTACACCACAGCTCTAGTCATTCTGAGATTCATTTGTTTATTCAACAGACAGGAGTTGAATGGCTTTTAATGTGATAGGTCCTGTGCTAAGTGCTGTGAGAACAATTTGTCAAGAGCTTCATTCTTATGGAGGTTAGAGTGGGTGTCTCTTTTCTGGCCCTCTGAGGATGCTCCTGTTTGTCCCATGTACAGTGCTGCGTTTGGTACAGGAGCTAGATCCCTGTGGGTGACATACTCATCTCAGCCTGCCCTGCTCGGCAAGATGTCATTCATGGTTCAGACAGAGAAATGACCAGGAGTTTGACTTCTTCGTCTGCTGACCAAACTAGGTTACACAGAAATACTGGTAGCACTGGTAGCCCCAGCCCCCTATGCCTTCTCTCTTGGTGAACTTAGCGGGCTGTGAACCTAGAACCTAGAACTCTATTTGGCCCTCTGATGGAGGGAGAGTGAACTAAAGTTCAAGACTGTTGGGAAAATAGAATAGTGTGGTCAGGGCCCTCACCTCGGGTCCCATTGGGTGTGGTTTAGCACATCCATTGTAAACAGGTTGTGTGGAGTTGGTGCGCATGTGCGCCAATGTATCTTTTTAGTTTTGATGCTCTTCTTGTGTGTGTGTGACAGAGAGAGAGACAGGGCAGAAGGAGAGAGAGAGAGAGGAGTTTTAGTGAAGCAGGCAGGTGGGTGTCTGCCTCAAGCATTCAAGGACCTTCTGGCCAGTTACCTAGCTCATAGATCTGCTTGAAGGGGTCTGGGGACCCAGCCTAGCATGTGAGGGGTCTGGGGACCCAGCCTGGCATCTGAAGGGTTTGTTACCCAGTCTGTGAACAGGCTTGAGGGCTCTGTGAGCTCCAGATCCAGCCCTAGTTCGGCAATTGGCCCAGTTGGTACAGGATTACTGGCAGGTATAAGAGCCCGACAGCTGTTGTGGTCGCCTAGCTTTATAATTGGCGTCAAGAGCAGGATTAAGAGCACTACAGCTGGTGATGTCAACAGGGTTCCAGAGCACCACAAAGACTAAAGGCAGCTCTGGGTGACTTGCTCCTGACCGCTTTTTTCTGGGTGCACATCTTAGTCTCAGCCTTAACCATTTCACTCTGAATGAAGGCAGAGGAAGTAAGAACTTGAAGAAATTCAAGTAAGGAAAATGAGAGCCTGCCCCCTCCCCCGAAGGCTGGAGCAGTGGGCTACTCCCTTCCTTTCTGCTTTTCCTGTGACTCTGGGTCTGCTAAGTTGTGAGGGCACTTACCAAGTAGGAGGTGAAATCTAAGCACACTAGCTGCAGGGAGCAGGGAGTGCTTAAGAACAGCTGAGAAATAACGCCAAAGCAGGTGAGTGATCAGAAGACTAGATCTGAGTGAGAGTGGGTTCTTTTCATAATTCCCCCACCACTACTTTCTAAAGGTTAGGGCTTTGCCAGAGGTGCTTGAGCCAGGTCAGTGTCCCCACCCCCTCATGTCCATGGTGGCCTGGAAAGCTTGCTCTAGAGGTCAGGAAGTGTGATCAGGAACTGGTTCTTTCAGAGACTTAGAGTTCACATCCAGGCAGGGGCATCCTCTCTAACGTAGTCATCTCGGGAGACTGCAACACATATTTCCATGGGGTCGGCCGTTTTTCAGGCACATTTGTCATGTTCATTTAGAATTGCCCTTCAGAACTATATGTGACTTGTTTTTTTGGAGTCACCATAGTGATGCAAGTATTTGTAGATTTGATCTTTCGTACAACCAGAAATCATTCAGTATGCAACTGGTGAGTAATGTGTGTGTTGAGGTTGTAAATTTGATCTGGAGACAGTTTCCATGACAAAGTTCAAAAACGCTTTGAGTGAAAGCAACATTCATACATTCAACAAATAAATAATGTCAAGCACCCACTCTAATGGGCATCGCTCTGGGCACTGGGGATACAGCAAGACTGACATTTTAACTGGGGGAGACGAGTTGACAAATTAATAATAAGTAATAAATAACCAAAAATAATAAACAAGTTGCCAAATTAATACAACTTCTGGAAAGATGCTCTGAAGAAGAATGGAGGAGGTGGGACGAGTGGAGGTGGGCTGGTTCAGAGTGGGTGAGTAAAGCTTCTGAAAAAGGGACATTTAGGCAGAGACCTGAGAGGCATGAGCTGCAAAGCCATGTCAGGGTGTGTTCTGGGCAGTGGCAGCAGTAAATAACAAGCTTGGCGGGTGTCAGGAACATCAGAGGAGCAGTGTAGAGGGAGTGGAGGAAAGGGAGGGGTTGGGGAGGAAGTGAAATTGGAGGTGCAGGCCCTGATTCAAGCAGCTGGGGTATGAGCCTTGCTGGAGGCAGTGTTTGGCCTTCTACTGAATAATTTTTGTTACGACTTAAGGCACATGTTAATGAGCGAGTGTTGTGATGGGTGGGGCTGCAGAATAAATACATATCTTTGAATCTGCTGGTGAGGGGTTAAGACACTGCAGGCAGGTCAAAAGAGGAAGGGACACTTATGTTCAATTTCTTTTTTAGTAGCATTTGAATTTTTATTATATGCATGTAGTTTTTAGGAGACTATTAATATTCCATATATGTGTGTGTAAGATTTGGTTTTTACAGAAAGAGTATAGCTGTTGATGAAAACGCAAAAGGGTCTTTAAATCAGTACTTCCTCTGAGATAATTGTTAAATGACTAGAGAGGCTGCTTGGCGTTTAGATTTCTATGAAATCCAAGCATTGACACTTGAGTGCTTTTCATAAGTGAAATAATGTGCTCTGTTTTTATAGATATTTCATTTTTCCATTTCAAATTACATCTTTTGCTCCTTTCCCCAGGCAACAGAAACAGACATCAAAATCAGTGTGTGCACCCGGGCCTACCATCTGCTTGTGGAAAAACTGAGCTTTAATCCAAATGACATCATCTTTGATCCCAATATCCTCACCATTGGTACTGGGATGGAAGAACACAACTTGTATGCTGTTAATTTTATCTATGCAACAAAAACCATTAAAGTAAGTTTGTGTATTTTCTCTCTTCTACCCAAGACATGGCTCAAGTTTGATCACATGGGTCCAGTGACTGGTGAGAGCTAGTGTATGTATTTATTCGCTGGGAATGTTGACATTCTTGTTCTTAGTAAATTGTTTTTTTGAAATTTAGGGGCCTTTGGGCCGAGCCTGTGGCGCACTCAGGTGAGTGCAGTGCTGGGAGCGCAGCAGCGCTCCCGCTGCGGGTTCGGATCCTATATAGGGATGACTGGTGCGCTCACAGCGCTCACTGGCTGAGCGCGGTGCGGCCGGTCTCAAAAAGGAAATTTAGGGGCCTTTATTATTTTTCTTTTATATAATATTATTCTAAATTGTGAAGCGTAACACATACTGGAGAATACATACAACATAAATGTATAATATAATAAATAATAATGAAACATGTAATAGTTTTCATTAGGTTTTGAAATAGAGCATGACCAGTGCTCCCATATGTCCCTCCTTTTATGAGGTTTATTATCCCACTCTGTTGCTTTTCTTCAGAATTTTATCACTTACAGATGTACATTCGATTTGCATTATCCATGGACTGTGTATTTGCAAAATCACCTACTCATTAAAATTTATTTGTGACTCCCGAAATCAATGCTCATGTGCTTTTGCAGGCATTTATGGACATACCCATGCATAGAGTGATAAAAAATTTGAGTGGGCTGACACACATGTTCCCAGGGGAGGTTGGACATGGTGACGATCTACGTTATTTCAGCTCTCATTCTGTAAACCAGTGTCCTTTTCGCGATCTATTTAATGCCATGTTTTTCACATTTTTGGTGGTGATTTTGCTTTTTGAAATGGGCCCCACACATAGGGCTAGTGCTGTCTAGTGTTCCTAAGCACAGGGAAGGCTGTGATGTGCTGTACAGAGAAAATGTGGTAGTAGAGAAGCTTTGTTCAGGCATGAGTTATAGTGCTGTTGGCTGTGATTTCAGTGTTCATGAAACAGCAGTCAGCAATATATATTAGATAAGGTGTCTTTGAGCAAACACACATAAAACTAGATTATGTATTGATTGGTTGGTGAAAATGCTGTGACCAGAGGCTCACAGGAGCGCAACACTGTATTTCACCTAGGAGCAGTGTTTCAGAATCACCCAGTTCAGTGTTTGCAGTGACTTTATAGAATATAACTACCACAAAATAAAAAGAATCAACTGAATATCTAAATGATATAGTTTAGCTTTGCCTGTTTTTAAGCTTAATATGAATAAAATCGTAAGATTCTTAGATCTTTTTTCCTTATGCAACCTCATTTTAAAGATTCATATGTGTTCCTATAGCTGTCATTTGTTATTAATGTATGATATTTCATTGTATAATTATGCCACAATTAAGTGTGCTACCGTTGGTGAACATTGGCTTGTTCCAGCTTTTGGGCTTTATGAATAATGTTGCTACGAATGTTCTTGTGTATGTATCTTTGGTATACATGCCTGAGTTTCTCTGTGGCATATACCCAGAAGTGGAATGGTTGGGTCATAGCAGTACAAATGACAAGCTCTCTCCTTAAATGCTTGAGCCAGTTTGTACTTGACCCGACAGTAAGCGAGAGTTCCTGGTTGTTCCACATGCCTCTGATGCTCGATGTTGTCACAGGTGTGTGGGAACCTCAGTTTCCTTCTGCCCTTTTATAACTGGTCAGGTTTATAGTGAACTAGGAAGTTTGTTCATTTAGTTTCTGGAAGCCTTCTAGTAGCTTGTGCTTTCAATGAATAAGGAACTTCTCACTACCTTTCTGTGTGTGTGTTTTTGCACACATCTGCATGCACTGTTCCTGTCTCTTTATATCTCTGTCATTTCTCCAGCAAACATCTTATGGAACACTCACTCTGTGTTATGCCCTTTCATGGTCCCTGTAGAGGTATACAGAGATAAAGCAGAATTTTGTATTTTACCTTAGGGAGACTAGAGTCTGGTAGGAAAAACTATTTATGAAACAGTGCCTTCGTGACAGCGTAACATGGCAAGCTTTGATCTACGTCTAGTAGCAAGAACTCTGAATTACTTTAAACCTTATATGTTTTTTACTTTCCACTCCTATATAAAGCTTAAGAGTTGTGATTTCTGCTTCTGGCAGAATAGGGGAATCTTTTCACATTTAAAATTTTTTGACAGGAAACATTACCTGGAGCCAGAATAAGTGGAGGTCTTTCCAACTTGTCTTTCTCCTTTCGAGGAATGGAAGCCATTCGAGAAGCAATGCATGGAGTCTTCCTTTACCACGCGATCAAGGTACCGTAGAAGACCTGTCTGCCAGGCGGAAATCAGCTTTTATTTAGGCCAGGGTTTTGCAAACTGTGGCCCGCGGGCTACCTCTGGCCTGCTGTCAGTTTCTGCCAGTGAGGTTTTATTGAGACAGAGCCATACCCCTTCACTTATGCCTTGTCTGTGGCTGCTTTCCTGCTACAACAGCACAGCTCAGTAGTTGTGACCGACTGTGGCCTAAAATATTTTCTCTCTGGCTCTTTGCAGAAGAAATTTGCTGATCCCTGATTTAGGGTATCACTGGAAATCCTCACTTTTCTTTTTTATTTCCCTTAGTTTGGTATGGACATGGGGATAGTGAATGCTGGAAACCTCCCTGTGTATGATGACATCCAGAAGGAACTTCTCAAGCTCTGTGAAGATCTGATCTGGAATAAAGACCCTGAGGCCACTGAAAAGCTCTTACGTTATGCCCAGGTAGAGAGAAAAGTGTTCTAATGGATAGCTTTTTCTTATTTTTGAATTTATTAGTCACTTACAATTAGACCTTTATTGTAGAATTCAAGCAAGTATTTAATTATGTCTTTAGATCATTGAAAATTCCTACACAGTTCCAGAGGAAGGAAAAACAGACCATATCTAGGCTGCTTCAGTAATCTGAATTTAGGTTTCTTTAAATTTATTTTTAAAATGTAAAATTTATTTTTCTTGTACCAAAGTGCCATATAATAATTTTAGAAGATGTAAAAAATACAGATAAGCAAAAGGAGAAAATAAAAATTACTCATAATTCCACCACCCAAAAGTGAACCACTGTTGAGATTTTGTTATAATCTTCTGGTCATGTAGGGTTTTTTCCTTTTTGTAAAGTGTATATGCAAAATATATATGTATATGGAACTATAGATGCTTTTTTGGTGACATCTTTGTTTAACAGTGTACTGGGAACATCTTTCCATTTTATTTGGTATTTTTGTACCTCATCATTTAAAGTGGCTGTTTTGGATTTTCTGTGTGGATGTGTTACTATTACCTGCTCCCCACTGTTATAGTTAAGGTGTGCATGCCTGTTTATGTTAGGATCTGGTCCATCTGTGGCAAGGTTCTGCAGTTCAGGTTGAGGTCTGTACACATTTGATATATAAGAACGAGAATAGTGATAGCTAATTAAAAAACCAGCTCCTCACTTCTGACTTATATGTTGGGCACAGTCCTAGGCATATCAAGTATGTATCATGGATGCTGCTGCTTAGAATTCAGCTGAAGGGAAGATGAGATCTTTACCCCCAAAAGCTTGCATTTTAATCTGTACGAGAGAGTGGTGGTGGTGGCACAGGAGGACACTTTCCCCACAAAGCGTGCTGGGCGAGCAGTGGGACGCTTTTGTGTATATTGCTAACTTTGCTTATGTTTTCCAGGTTAGCACCTGAACTTAACTCTGACAGAACTGTTAACGTTTTCTACTAATTGATAAGAGAAATAAACTGTTATAGAAGAAGGAGAATTCAGGACTAACTGCATCCTTGATTTATCAGCCTTCCTGGTGGCAAGTCCTAGATTCTGACACTGCTTGTGGGAGCCTTAGGCTCAGTACAGATGACTAGAGAGCAGACCCCACGCCAGCACACATATGACCCTTCTCTCAGTTCCTTAAAACAGTTCTGGTTTCTCATATGAACAGAATGTTTATGACAGAATGTTTCAGGTTCTGGTTGTTGCAAAAAAAAAAATCGAGTTCTGCTTTCCAGCTCATTATAGAAGAAATAATCCCTTGATTTTTTTTTTTTTCCTATTTCCAAGACTCTTTCTGCCTATATAAACAAAGTGCTTAGCCCTTCCTTATTCTTTGACTATCAAGATACAGGCATTCAAAACCATTCAGTTTCCAGTCATAGCCTATCTTCCACCTAGTAGGGGGTCCTTCATTAATGGCTGACTAAAATTAAGGTTCTTTTGAAGGCCGAAGAGACATCATAGCTTCTATAATCATAGAATGTACTACAGAGTTCTTAATTAACTCATGAAACGACATGCCATTTCATCTTTTCCCACTTGTTCAGAGGAGGCAGCTCTTACTCAGGAAATTGGGGGCTCCTTATTTGTAAGACCATTCCCGTTTAAAGTTTTGTTGGCATTGTATTTTATGTCAGGCATTCTTTTTGGTCCTTCTTCACTTTAAGCATTTATGCACAAGCTTTTGTTTCTTTATATCATGCTGAGCTGCTAAGATGTTTTGCCCTTGGAGGCAAAACCTTGGAGGCACAGCCGAAGTGAGGGGAATCTTCATAGCAATTCCAAGAGCTTAACAATCCATTGTGTGAGAAATTGCCTCCTAATGTAACCACAAGAACTTATTATAAGCCATTGACCCTCTGTCAAGTAGGCTAACTCCACATTCCAGGTGACTTCTGTTGCCGTTTAGGGAATTAATAACCAAACCAGGTACACTTCAGTGACTCCCAAGAGTTGCCAGTTCTGTAGCAATTTCTCGGGATACACTGAGTGCAGATGGAGCATAAAAAGCGGGAATATTATGAGACAGATAGGGTCCAGGAATTTTTTTTCTTATAAAAGAATGGTTATCTCTTTTTGTTATTAAATGATGAAGCCTGCACCCAAGTTCCTGTCTGGTACATCATTGAAAATGGTGGGAAAAGTTCTACTTCTTTCAAAGGCTCTCTAATGCCACCTTTGGGGAGTAATGAGCTTTTTTTCAAAAAATAATTCTCCTAATTTAGTAGACTGACCTGTGATGAATAAATTATTTTTGGTAGTAAAAAGTTTCAGGTGTCATGGTAGCGTATAGTTTACATGGAGCTTCTTTATTAAATCATACCCTGATGGAGGTCATGCCTCTTCCACTGGACCGGAAAGATCACTGCTCTGGAGGGATGGCTTTTGAATGACCTTGGATCTTGAGAATATTGTTGATACTTTTCTGGGAAAGTTCTTCAAGCCTCCAGGTTGTCTGTTCCTCGATCTGGCCCTGATCCTTCTCCTTGCCTCTTGAGTACACGTCCTCTTTTGGCTTTCTCTGGAGTAGCTGACTCGGCTTGATGCTGGTGCAGTGGTAACCCACATCCCCGTGAAGCCCTTGTGAGGCACAAGCTACTCTAGAGCAGGAGGAGGTAGTTTTTCTCATTAGCTTTATACTTGTACATGTGCAGATACGAGGAGTTGGCCAGAGGGACTTGACCATTGCTTGTCAGTTAACTTGGTGTCTGTTTATTTAATGAGCTTCCACAGCGTGCCTGGGGTCTGGTCTACCTTGGTCTGTGAAAACTGCAGCACCTTATGTCATGGAGACTCCTGATTAAATACCTGATTAGAAGGCAAGATGGGCTCACTGTAACCTCTGTACTTCTGAAAAAACTGCTTTTATTTTTATTTTTATTTATTTATTTTTTTATTTCATCTGCAACTTTAATTCCCTTTGTTGTGCAATTGAACACATTACAGGGTCGAGGGATTAGGCCGTGAACATCTTTGGGGGGCCATTATCCAGCCTACCACATCATTCTACTCAGAAAGGTCTTTATTGTTACATACATCAAGAAGTCCAGAAGCAGAGTGGCTCTGGGAGGGTGACTTCACAGCTGATGACATTGTCCTGGATGGTGGTTCTCACGTGTTCCCACCACACCATCTGCAGCAGGCAAACTCTTCTTTCTTGGGGTGCAAGATGGCTGCTGTGTCCCTTGTGTGCAGATGTAGCCACGGCCAGCAACTGAGGCAAGCGAGGGGTGAGAAGGATATTTTTTCTCATGTGCCTCTTTACCAGCAGCAAATATCTTTTCAAAAGCCCCAAGAGAAGCTTCATGTGTTTCACTGGGCAGGACTGCGGCACTCCACGACTCAGCCTCTGAAGCATTTGGCTGAGGAGAGAGGTGAAGCCAGAGTAACCTGGGGTTTTCTCAAGGGAGGACCAAGGGGGAATGGCTCTCTGGCAGGCAACCCACTGTTTCTGATGCCTTCACAGTGAGATAAGAGGGGCTCAGTCTCCGTGAGTTCTGGTTTCAAGACAGGCCGCTGGGTTTCCAGCCACTCCCTGAGGTCTCAGGCACCTCTTCTGGGCCCTCCCCTAGAGGAAAGCTACTGTTGCTAGTTAGACCTATTTTCAGCATCAACAGGGAAAATGAGATCTCAAGGGGGCTAATCTTACCTAAATTCGGTGGCTGGGCATGCTCAGTAGAGAAGGGTTATATAGTCCTGGTAGCCAGGCATGCTCAGTGGAAGGGAGTTTATCCTCTGAATGACCTTCCACTACAGGTGCTAGAGAGCACAGAATATTCTTGAAAGTGCCTGGTGCATGTGATAGGATTTGACCAATAAACGTGCTCCAAGAAGAAACCAACTGAGCGTGTGCAAGACTATGTCACATAACTGGGAACCACCCCCTTAATGGCATATTCACTGGATAGCAAAACTATAAAAGCCAGACCCCAGCAGCAGGCAGGGCTGTTGCTCACTCCCTGGGGTCAGTCTGCACTCTGCTTGTGGAGTGTGCACTTTCTTTTCGTATCAAACTTGCTTTTGGCAGGTGGCTGCTTATTCTCTTGAGCCAGCCTGCACTCTGTGCTGAACTTTAAGTATTTCTTACTTTTGTATTTAACTTGGTGTGGGCCCTGCTCCGTCTACGGAGCTATGCCTCACTCTGTCTGTGAAATCTGTGTCTCTTATCCACTACATTAAACTCGTTCTCGGGCCGGCCCGGTGGCGCACTGCTACAGTGCGCCGCTTGGGAGCGCCACTGTGCTCCCAACCAAGGGTTCGGATCCCACATACAGACCGGTTCCCGCTCACTGACTGAGCGAAGGGCGGGCGCAGCACCAAGGGTTGCGATCCCGTTGCCGGTCCCGGTCCGGTACGGGCGCGACACTGAGGGTTGCAGTCCGTTGCCGGACACGAAAAAAGACAAAAAAAAACCCCAACTCGTTCTCATTTTCTATTGTGACTCTGCTTTTGAATTATTTCCTGTGGTGGAGTCAAAACCTGATAAAAGAATGGAGAGGGTTGAGGGGGACTATTGGGCTTCCCAGACCCTATCTTGGATATCAACAGGAAGGCTGGGGCAGGCTTGCAGTGAACAGGTCCAGCCAGGGACTCTGAACCTTCTGGGCACTCTTCTGATATTTTCTAGTGAAAAAACTGCTTTTAAATGGTACTGTTTCGTATTAAGTATTGGTCTTCTGAGCCGGGTTCGCCAGGTTGGGAGTTCTGCCATGGGCAGGGGCAGTGTTTATTCATTGCAGCCTCCAGAACTTTAGAGAAACCTTTACTAGCCTTTGTGTCTTCATTTGCCTCTGTCCATAATCACATATTTATTGACCCCTCCCTGCCCCATATGTGTGGCACACTGTGGCATTTTTCTGATGGAAGGAACACATCATTTCCTTTTTTCAGTAGTGTTTGGAATACTCTGCCCTGTTTTTACTCATGAAACTCCACCCCCCAGGCAGGAATTGTTGGATTGTGTGGCTAATAGAACAAATGGTGTTTACAAGTATCAAGGGATGGGCATGTGAGCATTAGAAGGACTTTTTCTTTTTTAATTACCATCTTGTTCACGTTTTTTGATACACGAGAGAGCTCTTGTGTTGTCGTTTTTCCAGTTACCCTAAATCTTGGAGTTCTCTCCAGTTCCTTCCTTCTCTCTCTCTTACTCGTTGGTTACTTAATACTCTTATGTTTATCCTCTTCTTCCATCTTGTTACCACCACTGAGTCTAGGCCTTCCTCATGGACTATTAAAACATTCTTCCCTTTTTGGGGTTTCCTTAAAAATGCTACTTTGAATGTTACTCTGCAGCTTCAGAACTTTGAATGGTATCTCCTCCCCTCTGTCCACACAGTTGCCTGGAAGGTTAAATTCAAACTCCAAGGCATGAATTTCTGGCCCTCTGTGTCTTGGCCTCTTCCTATCCTGCACAAACATTGCTCCAGCAAAATCAGTTTTTGTTTAGCATTTATTCATTCAGCTAATATTTCCTGAATTCCCGCTTTGTGCTGTGCACTTCACTGAATATGGAGGATCTGACTAGTAAGAGAGATGTGCCCTGTCCTCTCAGAGCCACCATCCAGTGAAACATGCAAAAATGTGTGGAGGTGGTTGTCATCCAGTGTGGCAAGCACAGGATGCTAGAAGATTGCCGAGGGGGACTCTGACCCCAGAGGTGGAGGTGGTCGGGGAAAGCTTCCCAAAGGAAGTGATGGGTCAGGTGAGACCTGGAAGAGAACTGGGAGTTAGCCAGGCCAAGGTTTGGGGATAGAGTGTGGTGCTGGTGGTCATGCCAGGGCAAGGGTGTTTGCATTGAGCCAGGGCCTGGCACAGTTGTGGTAGGTGCTGGATGAATGTGTGTCAGGTGAATGAATGCGAAGGCCAGGAGGTGAAGAGATGATGGAGAATGTGAGGAACGGGAATGGTCCAGATGGCTGAAGCTTGCCAGGAATGGTGGAAGACAAAGCTGTAGGAGAAAACCAGGTCAGGTCAGTGCGTGGCCTGCTGGAGAGTCAGTCCTGTGTCCAAGAGCAGTGGTGTTGCTTTGCCCCCCACATATTTGTCATCCCTCTTCCCCTGGGTGACAGCCGCAAAGGATTACTCAAAGCCCATCTCTTCTGAGCAGTGAGAAGCCCTGAAGTGGTTAACTTCCCCGGAACCCTCAAGTGCGAGTCATCCCTTTCATTTGGGAAATTAACCCTGATTTGGGGTTCTCTTCCTGCATTTATTCTCCAGCCCAGGAAGTTACAGGAAGAGACATAGGTGGGGTTATAGTTTAACAACATAGGCTGGTAACTCTCAGTGAAACAAGCCAGATGACATTCCAGCAAGGCAGTTAAGCAAACATTCCCTCTCCTGGAATCTTAGCAAACATTCCCTCTCCCTCCAGCAGTTTCCCAGTAACTCTGCATGTCAGTCAGTAACTAGTTTGTCTTTGAACCAGCAACCTCGCTCTGTTACAAATCTTTATCTTACACCAGAGACTTTATAGCCTGAGGAAAATTTCTTGTCCTTTGCAAGGTCAGTATTTGAAACTGAGACTTTGGAAAACCAGGCCCTGTGAAGTACATTTGCTTTATGAATCCTCTATACAGTGGGGGAATTATAACAAGTTTTCCCACCGGGGAGTGGTTTGATCAGATTTGCATTTAGAAAGGTCCCTCTGGCTACAGCTTGGAAGGTGATCAGTGCCCACAGTGATTGTGAGCTGTGGAGACCATTAGATCTTTGACTGCGGAAGTGGAAGTTGGGGTGGGGAGAAGAACGTTGGGAGGCTTAATCATTAGGACAAGGGGACTGAGTGAACATGAGCAATGCAGGAGATTCAGGAATGACACTGAGACTGCTGGTTTGGGCAGCTGGTGCCACTAGTTGAAATGGAGAAAACACCAAAGTAATGAAGTTTACTGTTTGTGACACGACCATGGCTCTTTTCTCCCTCTGCTGGATGTCTCCTCTTAAGACTCCTTATAAAGCTAGGCACCCACGCTAGTTGTCATGGCTCTTTTACCTGCTGGTAATCCTGCACCGACTGGGCTGATGGTTGAGCTAGGGCTGGGTCTGGACCTCCTAGACCCCTCAAGCCCATTCACAGACTGGGTCACAAACCCTTCACACACCAGGCTGGGTCACCAGACCCCTTCACGCAGGTCTGTAAGCTAGGCAACCAGCCACATGGTCCTTGGAAGCTGCAGGTCTGGAAAAACATGGCCACGCAGGGTGGGTGCCCAAGGCAGAAAACACCAGCTGAAGTGGCGCTGTCTGGGCGCACTCACTCCACCCACACACATACAATGTTTACAAAACTGCTCCTATCTGGCCCTGGGTGAGGGAAGCTTGACCAAATGTTCCATTTTCCCAACACTCCGCTTCTGTGAAGCCTTTCTTCACCATCCCAGTTTAGCGTGACCGTCCCTTCCTTGATCCTCTGTACCTAGTCCATATTGTCTACACATTTAGCTCTTAACGTGTACTTTCTCGTGTGTACTTTTCTTTGTGTGTTTTGTGCCTCCCCATTATACGGCAAAGTCCTCGAGAGCACAGTCTGTGCCCTATACCTCGTAGTATGTCCACCTCCAGGGTGATTTCTGACTTAGCTTCATTACAGACTCTCAACATTTGTTTGTGGGTCATGGTGATCTCTGCTGAGAGCTTTGAGAACTCATCAGGTTTGGGGTAGGGGTTCTCTTTCTGTCCTGGAAATATTTTGTCCCAAGTTATCTTTAGGAAAGATGGAAAGAAAAAAACGGAACCTCACTCTGTTTCTCTTCTAAAAGTTCAAATCCTCAAAGATTTTCTCTCTTTCTCCTTCCTTCAAACGTTTATTGAGGTCTTAATTCATGCTGGACACTCTTCCAGGGGCTAAAAATGTAAAAGAAAAATAATGCTGCTAAAGTGGTTGTACGCATTTCTTGATCCTAATTTCACTAAGTGGTTGTACACATTTCTTGATCCTAATTTCAATTCAGACTCATGGCAAAGGAGGGAAGAAAGTCATTCAGACGGACGACTGGAGGAATGGCTCCATCGAAGAGCGCCTCGAGTACGCCCTCGTGAAGGTGAGTCACGGCGCCTGTGCCGGAGCCTGGTGGCCGTGGTGGCTGCTGCTGCTGTTGGTGGAGGGCGTGCCTTGACCACTGATTCTCAGCCTGGGGAGGTTTTGCACCCACCAGAGACATTTTTTGTCACATCTGTGTGTGGGAGGTGTTACTGGGATCTAGTGGCCAGGGACACTGCCACACATCCTATGGCGCACTAGACAGCCCCGCCCAGTAACGACTTTTCCAGCCCCATGTCAGCGTGGCCGAGGCTGAAAACCCTGCCCTAGACCAAGTTGCCATCAGTCAGTCCTGGCTTTTCTGCTGATAATGGGAATTCTGGGCAAGATAAATAATCTCTTGGCATCAGTTTTCTCACTTGTGAGTCGAGACTTTGAGAAGTTTTTTTGTTTTTGGCTCTAGAATTTAGCTTTTAGCTCTCGGACCTTTTGAGATTGACACATTTCAGTCTGTGGAACTAGTCAGCCACATCCAAGGATCCTCGACCCGGGTGACTCGGAGGAGTAGGGCTCATCAGGGAGGCCAGATAAACCCACAGAAGTTTGTGGATTTGAACCTGCCCCGTGGACCCTGACCAGTGTCGTTCTTCCCTGAGCCCCTAACAGTGCAGTGAGAAAACACACTGATTCCACCCCAGCTATTTCTTCACGTGTCCTCTAATTCATCACTAGGACATAAGATTTATTTTATTGTGCATTTGAACTTTGCTTGTTAGTCCTCCTGTTCTCAGTAATAGTTCGTGCTTACTGAGGTACTTTTTAAAAAATCTTTTTAAATTGACAGATAAAATTATATGTGTTTACCATATACATCATATTTTTTTGAAATATATGAGGTATTCACTTTGTATCAGTAACGCCAGCTAAGTTCTTTACATGGGTTCTCTCATTTAATCCTCAAAGTAAACATATGAGGTAGGTACTATTGTGATGTTGTAATTAAGGAAACCGAGGCTTACTGAGTTGCCTGAATCAGTGCTAGGAAGCAGATTTGAACCCATGCAGTCTGATTCCAGAACCTGTGCTCTTAAGCATTTCCACGATTTATTCTTTGTAGACTGTTTGGATGTAAGCAATTTTTTATGTGCCTTTTTTTCTCTTTTTTTTTTATTGTAGGGCATTGAAAAATATATTGTTGAGGACACTGAGGAAGCCAGGTTAAACCAGGAAAAATATCCCCGACCTCTGAACATCATTGAAGGACCGCTCATGAATGGCATGAAAGTTGTTGGTGATCTTTTTGGAGCTGGAAAAATGTTTCTACCACAGGTCGGCAAAAGATGCGGAGAAATTTTCACAGTTGAATCTTGGTTTTTTAATGAATAGTGAGTTTGGGTGTATTTGTCAGGTTTTAATTTGGATAAGAGATCGAGGACATCATCTTGCATCCTTCTCTAGATGTGTTTAGGAGTCACGTCTGGAAAAATCTGTCTTTACAGTGGTGTGGAGGTTAGAGGTCATCTAGAAATCCTCAGTGTCGTAACCTTTATGTTCTCATTTTCTGTCTATCTCTTACCCCTACACTCTCTCTCCCCCAAAAGTAAGATAAAAACCAAGATAAATGTAAAGTTCCTGATATGATTTGATTTGAACAGCAGGTGATCATTTTTTTTTTTTTAAGGAAATTAAAGATCCATCAAGATGTATTTAAACTTTTGTCATCAGGTTATTTAAACCCTTTATACCACAATTTTCATCTTTAAAATGGGTCAAAGACCACATCCATATCTTAGGGTTGTAATTACTGAATGATTCACAAATGTTAAGCTGTTAGGACTTTATCTCAGCCAGTGTCCATCTTTAAGGGTGCATATTTTGAAAAAAATATTGCTGTTTTAAGTAGTGGTACATTAAATGATATGTTTCAAGGAAAATTATTTTGATTTACAGCAGTGACCAAGCACATCAGTTAACAAACACTTGCTGAGCCATAGCTGCTAGGGCTGTGAGCCGTACGAAAAATGAAAAAGGCGCTCTTCTTGCTTAAGCGTAGGCTTCGTTTTAAGTGAGTTATAATGCTGGGGATTGAGAAGGCTGAGAATGAGCTCATTGAGGAGAAGCTTGGAACCTGAAGCATATGTGGAACTTGGAGAAGTGATAGAGGACCTTCTAGATGGCCACAAATAACCAGCAGAAGTGCAGGGGACAGAAATCTCAACACTTGATCCATAGTCTGTTTTCCTCCCACTGCTCCTCATTGCTTGGCCCCCACAGGGAGCTTATTCCTTAGCCTGCCCACCTGTCAGAAGCAGATTCCAGCACAGCCGGCCCAAGGCCCAAGCACGCATTCTTAGTCTAGCTGATGTTTCACACGTGGCCACCAGCAGCCATTCTGAGGTTTGGTCAGGGTGCCTGACTCTGCTTTTTCTCCAGGTTATAAAGTCAGCTCGGGTCATGAAGAAGGCTGTGGGCCACCTCATCCCCTTCATGGAAAAAGAAAGAGAAGAAACCAGAGTGCTTAACGGTGTAGTAGAAGAGGAGGCAAGTCATTTTGTCCCGGCCTGTGGGCCCTGGAAGGAGCTGGTCTGGGAGACGCTTGTTACGGTGGGGGTAGGGGAATAAGAAGTCAGGCTTGGCTGTGTTTTTCATTGAAGATAAAATAGAGAAATGATCTAACATCTGTCCCTTCTTTTTACCAAGTATCAGAATACCCTGGGATTTCCCTTTGAATGTGGCTTTATGAAGTTTTTAATATAGACATAATTTTTTAATCAAAACCCATGATTTCAGACAAAACCAGTTCATTCCTTCATTCCTTTATTAACTGACCATCTAAAAAGCTCCTGCCATGTGCCAAGTATTGTACTAGACACTGTAGCTACAAAGGTCTGTCTCTGCCCTTGAGCTAACTGAGTAGTGTTTCTTTTTGGAAAACTCTTAACTATGTATTCTCTCTCTACTGCTGTTGTCTTTGGCACCACTTCTGGATTCAATTTAATTCTTGTTGGCAGCACCACCAGAGTAAATCACTGGGAATTTTGCCTTGTTTGCCTGTGACGCTGGGTCAGTTTTGACCCTAGGATTCTGAGTTCTTAAATTGATCTGAGTTTGTGAACGGCTCAGACAGACATGATTATTTCCCTCTCACTTTGCTTGTCTTTTTTCTTTTCTCTCTCTCTTTTTTTTTTCATTGAGGGAGGGGATGCTGACAGTGCATAGGACAAGAGTGTTAAAGAAACAGAAAGATAATACAATGCCCTGTACCTGGGCTGTTGTGGTGGTTTTTCAGATTCTGCTAGAAAATTTATGGTTAACCAACTCCTCCCTCTCTCCCCTACCTGTCTCTTAACTGCTCACAATAAACTTTAGTCAGACAGGTTTTTTTGCAGTTAAGGATGTGGTCTTCAGCTGTGGGACTGTTTTGTGTTTGAATTTCAGCTATTCTTAGAGATGATGGAACCCATGATCTTGGTTGAAGCCCCTTGGGCTAACCAGCTGGGTGGTCCTCCTTGAACTGCTCAGGCTTACAGAGTTCTGCTTGAAGAGCACGTTTAGGGTCCTGGGTCCATCTCTGAGGTTATCTTGATTGTATTAAGTTGCTTTCTATGCTGACCTGTGTCTGGCTCTGGAGAACTAGGTGATTTGCTCTAAAGGACGCTGCCTTAACTGCTTGACTTACTTTCCAGGACCCTTACCAAGGCACCATCGTTCTGGCCACCGTTAAAGGCGACGTGCATGACATAGGCAAGAACATAGTTGGGGTGGTCCTTGGCTGCAATAATTTCCGGTAAGTTAGGACCTCACTTCTTTCAACGCTTTTTCTATTTAAAGATGAAAGTGTTTTAACAAGGTAATTTTTTATTGGGTGGGAGGAGTGGGGTATGGCAGTAGATGTTAGAGGTTATTTTTTAATTCTTTTTATTTACTGTTTTCAATTTTCTACAGTGAATACAGCTTTTCAAATGAAGTAAGTTAGTAATTTTTATCTATTATGTGTTCAGTAAGGGCAAAACGGATAGTAAAAGCTATTTAAGCAAAGTTGAAGCAACCAGGAGGCTTCTGGGCATAGACATTGGGACCGAGGCTCTAATGGCCGGAACGTCGA